CAGGAAATTAACATTCTTAGAATTGACAGACAGTTGACCCTGAGAGGTCAGCTAAATATCTACAGCAGATCTAAATATTTATAATTAATTATAACTAGTTATGATTAATTATTCATATTTCCCCATGAGCTGATTCGCTACAATTCTTAGTATCTCTGTAGAACCGGGCCTGCATTTACCTAAAGCAGTGGTTCTCAACCTTTTTTACTCCAAGACCCCCTCCTCTCCAAAGCAATACTGCAAGCCCAAACTTTTCTATTCACTAAAACCTTTGTATTTGTTATTACTTTTCAATTACATGTAATTTTTTACAAATAAAACAAATTCAAGATAGATTTAAATATTCCATGTTCTTTTTTGCAAACATAATTAGCAATGTCACTGCAGATATTCTATACAACTTTATGTATGTAAAGCTCAATTATATGATAATTTTAACATACAAGCACAAGTCAACCTGCCATATCAAACAATACCACAGCGGGATGCCAAAGGACTGCATATAAACTACTATACGGGTCCATTCAGAATCACTAAACACACCAAAAAACAAATGAAAAATGAAACCATTCTGAACTCAGCAATCTCACCCCTTAGATACTGTTACTATGCACTGAGAAGCATGCATACTACAGTGAATCTCATGAAAATATGCACAGGTCACAAAGGAAAAAGATAAGAAATTGTATTTTGCATGAAGAAAATAGAGATTTTTTAAAGACGATCTTATTTATTTGCAATGTGAATTTTTACATGACAATTTTCTAAAAATGTCACAGGTGGTTGTAAATTGTGACACTATAACAAATTCCTTGTATGTGCAAACATACTTGGCAATAAAGCTCTTTCTGATTCTGATTCTGATTTTAGTCAACATAGATGCAAACATTTATGAATAATTATAGCAATTATCCTTATTTCTCTTATTATTTTTTATTATTCTCATTATAAAAATTTTTTTTTTTCTTTTTGTTATTTTATATTACAATATTATATATTTATTACTCTTAACATCGTATGGCATATATTTACTGAAAGTGTCTGTCTTCTTTAATCAGCATAAATTAAATGCAAACATTTATTTACAATTATAACAACAATTCTCATTATTGTAATGGGGAAAAAACGTTTTTTTAATACAAATAATGCAACAAAGTAAAAAAAAAAAAAAAAGATCTAAAACCAACTTTCTTTATGCAAAATTTCTTATTTTAATCATTCTAGACCAAAGGACATTTTCGGAATATTAACTCCATATTAACCCTAAATCCATGACATTAACTGATCATAGCCTTGACTTCAGTTTAAATGTGTGTAACAGTACAAGTAATCAGAAACGTTCACAATCACACTTCTCAGGTTGTCAAAGCTCACATAAACAAACAAAGTCAACTAATGGTGGTAATTAAATCAAGCATATGGCAGCCAGCTCAAACACAGCTGTGTGTGTTGGAGATGAGTAAGAGTATGTGTGTGTGTGTGTGTGATCTCTGGGCAGTGCGATTCACACATTTATAGAAGGTGTGGACTGAGTGTCAACGAGACAGAAGCGTGAAAGCAACACAATGTCTAAAACTGGAGTAATCACACTCTCTAGGCGAAATGCCTCGGCAAATATCCATCCGCTCACATCACCTTAAGTGTCATTCTGACGTCCAGAAAAGCTCTGAGGGCCTTAAGATCATGTAGAGTGAGACTTTGTTAAAACATGACTAAACGTCCCAGGAGAGAGACAGAATTAATGAGAAACTACTCTAAAGTTGAATAATCCCTGCCAGTTTTACAGTTTGAATGAATGTGACATTTTCCAGCATATATATATATATATATACACACACACACACACACACACAGTATATGCCATTTTGGAGAGTATCCAAGAACGTATTCGACGTAAAAACAGCATTGTTTACATTCAGGGGGAAAGCGCGCGCATCAACGTAATCTGCGTTGTTTACGCTTAGGGGAAAGCGTGCGTATGCGTTGTGAAACTCTTTAAAATGACGGAAGACGGTAACTTTGGGGAGAAGAATTGTTGAATAAAGTCTTATTTTTTTCTTTGCGCACAAAAAATATTCTCGTAGCTTTGTGTTATTATCGCGTTAATGCATTAATTAACGCCGACAATTATTTTATTGCACATTAACACAGTTTTTTTATTATTATTATTATTCACTGGCTCTGAATTCACATACAGCCAAACCATGGGTCACAGGAGAGGTGGGATGTTGATCAGTACTGGCTTGGGATGAGCGTCATCACGCGTCTCAACCAATGAGAGCATTTGGGGGTGGGCCTACAGTAGATACAATTATTTAGGCTAAGCATCAACATTCACAAACCACTGTTCACTGTTATTTTTAACAGACAAGAATGCAACGTGCTCGTAATCACAACTTAATAAGTGTGAAATATGAAGTTTCCGATAGCATGTGAAGGCAGCAGAGAAGCGCTCTCACTCAGCACAATGGAGTGCATCGTTTAACACACAGCCCTCTCACAATATATTGCTTTACAGATATATCACTTTTGCCACTCAGATATGTTCACGCTATCATGCTGCACACGTATCAGAAGTTCCGCGCTCCCACTCACTGATCTATATATAACTGAACCGTGCTCTGGCCCACCTCTTCCAACCGAGCCAGGGACGGCTAAACGAACCGTGCCCAAGCGCTGCACGGAGCGATCACACTAGTCAAACGAACCGGGCTTTGGGGGTCAAACGCACTCGGGCACTGTTAAGATTGCCTAGTGTGAGTACACCTTTTTTCTCCCACATCCCGCACACACGAGTGTCTACCCGCCCACACGCGCACTCATCAAGTGTTGTCCCGCGATAGTGCAGGTCTCTAGGTGCCTGTTATAATGTTATGATCGGGGCTCTGGACTCTGAGCATAACTTGTTTTTCTATAACAAACTATAAAATATTTTCGATAAAAACGTTAATGCTCTGGCAGTGGCAAATAGCTTTGGTTTTATATTTAATTTGATTACATTAATGTTTAAGTTGAGATTCACAAGAAATATTTTAACTGCTACTACGTAAAAGGAATACTGCTGTTGAAAAAGCACCTTATTTGTTTAAAGTGTTTGCAAACCAAATGTTATTGCACTTTTGTTCATATAGCAGTGCTTTTAAAAGAAAAAAAGTGCGCAATACACTACTTTTGAATTCATTATAAAATGTTGTGCATAACAGTGCAATTAATTGCGATTAATCACAGATAAATCATGCGATTAATATATATATATATATATACACAGTGTATATACAGTATATATATAATATATATATATATATATATAATATATAATGAAAACAAAGCTGCAGTCTACATATAAAATGCAGGTACATATAAAAATAGAGAACGTCCATGAGGACACAGATTAACAGTGTGACGTGTTCCATACAGAAGCTAATTATTGAAGGATTATCAATCAAAGCACAGGCATCATCATAAGACAATAAAGGTGATCATTCCAGTCCCAAACATCATCGGTTTGGACAACTCTCTTCCTCAAGGCAAATATCACGCCAACCTTTCCTTCAGCCATTATAATGGCGTATAAAAGTCGGCCTATTTAAACGAAGCCATTTCTTCCTCATAAAAACGAATCCTCTAATAAAGGTAAACCTTAAATCAATACACTGTCCAGCACTTCACAAATCATGCTTTAGGGATGGTCAGCCTACTCTCGGAGGAAAAAAGGTAAAAAACACAAATCAAATATATAATACATTAAAAAAATCTAAATAAAATGAATAAATAAAAATACAAACGCATTATATAGTGTCAAAATCGAAAGCTAAATCTGCATTGAAATGTTTTCTACAAACTGTAGCAAGGTGAAATCAGTTCCAAATATCAGTAAAATAGGAACTTGCATAAATGTGGACTTTAATTCAAAACACTTTATTTCACACATGGGATCAGATGGTTCATTTACTGTCTTCTCATAGCGGGAACGTCCAGAAACAAAGCTGAGACCCGTGTTTGATTACTTTGTTTTCTTTGTGCATGTGAATGTTGCTGTGTTTTTGATCCTGACCTGGAAATCTTGTCGGTGCATGACATGGTGATGAGACGCTCTCCTTGAAGGACTCCGTCCCACGTCTGAAAGGGACCTGTGGACTTCAAGGGCAGCGTACCCTCCCCTGATTCAATCTTTGTCCGTAGGTGGCTGTGAAACTTCTTCACCAAGTGTCTGTTGCTGTGCACTGTGAAAATTTTTTTCAAAAATACAAATTAAAAACTCAACTTTTGTCTTAAAAGACACTCATGACTGTGTGTCAAGGTCGACAAGTCTCTTAAAAGATCAGATAATTTGACTCATGAGGACACAGATTAACAGTGTGACGTGTTCCATACAGAAGCTAATTATTGAAGGATTATCAATCAAAGCACAGGCATCATCATAAGACAATAAAGGTGATCATTCCAGTCCCAAACACCATCGGTTTGGACAACTCTCTTCCTCAAGGCAAATATCACGCCAACCTTTCCTTCAGCCATTATAATGGCGTATAAAAGTCGGCCTATTTAAACGAAGCTATTTCTTCCTCATAAAAACGAATCCTCTAATAAAGGTAAACCTTAAATCAATACACTGTCCAGCACTTCACAAATCATGCTTTAGGGATGGTCAGCCTACTCTCGGAGGAAAAAAGGTAAAAAACACAAATCAAATATATAATACATTAAAAAAATCTAAATAAAAATACAAACGCATTATATAGTGTCAAAATCGAAAGCTAAATCTGCATTGAAATGTTTTCTACAAACTGTAGCAAGGTGAAATCAGTTCCAAATATCAGTAAAATAGGAACTTGCATAAATGTGGACTTTAATTCAAAACACTTTATTTCACACATGGGATCAGATGGTTCATTTACTGTCTTCTCATAGCGGGAACGTCCAGAAACAAAGCTGAGACCCGTGTTTGATTACTTTGTTTTCTTTGTGCATGTGAATGTTGCTGTGTTTTTGATCCTGACCTGGAAATCTTGTCGGTGCATGACATGGTGATGAGACGCTCTCCTTGAAGGACTCCGTCCCACGTCTGAAAGGGACCTGTGGACTTCAAGGGCAGCGTACCCTCCCCTGATTCAATCTTTGTCCGTAGGTGGCTGTGAAACTTCTTCACCAAGTGTCTGTTGCTGTGCACTGTGAAAATTTTTTTCAAAAATACAAATTAAAAACTCAACTTTTGTCTTAAAAGACACTCATGACTGTGTGTCAAGGTCGACAAGTCTCTTAAAAGATCAGATAATTTGACTTTTTTTTTCCTGATGAGGCAAAGATAGTTCAGAGTGAGACTGTAAAATATTGTGTGGTTCAATCCTCCAAAAACAATTATATAATTAAGTAATTAATTTATTATATATACATATATATGAATTGAAATTATATTAAGCATATATCAATACATTTTAATGATTTTTTTTCAACTTCCGTCTAAATGTAATGCATTTTAAAATAATATTTACCTTGCTAAGGAATTTCTAAGATTTATATGGATTCAAACATTTGCCATATCTGTAAAGATTATTCATTAAATTCATTAAATGTATATATATTTTTTAATTTTAACTTGGTTAATCCATTAGGATTAAGGTATATAATTGGAAAATATAATGTATATATATTTATACCCCCAATTTAACAGTTAAACAGTTGAATAGTTCACCAAATTTAAATATATTTAGATAGAGGACGTGTATTTTGGCCAGAAGCAGTGGTGTGAAGTTAAAAACATCTTAATGATGAATTTGTTTCTAACAAACACAAAGCTTTTCACTTCTCATGACATTAACTGATGGACTGGAGTGACGTGGATTTCTTGTGGATTACTGGGATGTTTTTATCAGCTGTTTGGCCTCTCATTCTGACGGCACCCATTCACTGCAGAGCATCCACTGGTGAACAAGTGATGCAATGCTGCATTTCCAAATCTAAAAACAAACTCCTCTATATCTTGGATGGATTGAGGGTGAGTATTAAACTATTACTTTAATGCTATTAAAAAGGAGGCCTGAAAATGATGAAAAGTTACACTATAAAGCTAAGTTATATGATTTGTTTAACCATTATGGTTCTGTTTAACTCCTCATTTATGAATATATGACTTAGTACCATATGATTTATATTTTCCACATATTTTAGCCTACAATGTTCGGTTAAAGTTTGAATGCAACAAAAAACTGAATGAATGAATAAATACATTCTTCTTAAAATGGAATACGTTTGGATTAAGTTTTGAAACCCCCAGAAACCAAATAACTTGACACATATAGTACGTAGCATCTGGACACTTCAAAAAGGCTGTATTAGATACAGAAGCGAGCAGAAGAGATGATACAGACAAGCGAAGAATCTTACAATCAGAGGTGATTTCATACGGCGAGTTGACACGGCCGTCCCCGCAGGGCGACGTACTGATGTACATGTGGAAGAGGACGTTCTCTCGGAGTCTCAAACAGGAATCTTTGTGCCGTACGAAGATCGATTGCTCCCAGTCCTCTTTCCTTTTGCTTCAGAGTGATCACAGACCGCAGGCGGGAAGAGAGAACAGAAAAGGGAGACATGAGAAACAACCACGTCTGAAAGTGTTCGGCGCTCACATCCCGGGCTAATAATGGGCTGAAGACACAAAAGGAGACAAATATTGGCCTTGCCGTGACCAAGGCTAGTTCCGTCACTGTCACATTCCCCTCTCGCGCACTCTTTCTCTCTCTGGTACACAATCTCAAATCATTACTCTGTCAGAACAAGGCGAATACAAATGACCGAGACAACAGCGAGCTGTAATTCTTTAACCCAGATGATCTGTAGCTAGTCAGCTGTAGGGAGGACACGGCGTTTCCTGCAGAGCCGTCCCACTTTTACACATATCATCATAATTAGCACTAACGCCTCACTGTGACATCTTACAAAGGATGTTTCGGAATAGTGCACGAGGTGAACTGCGCACGGGGAGCGCATTACATACGCAAACATCATCGTCGCTAATTGGCACCTAAGCTGTGCTAATTAGGCAAATGACCTGCGATGTCAAGGGTGAAGTCGTGCTGCTCCAGATCTGTCTACTGAGGAAGGTGCTCTGGTATTTTATTTGCCGAACGTAATGACTTATCTTCCAAACTAGACTCCAGACTCAGTCAAACAGGCCCATTTAGTGGCAGATAATGCACTCTGGGAAGACGCATATGCAAATTTGACATTACAGGAGGCTTTTCTATACAGCAATCTGCTACATCGAGGAAGACATTTAGAGTCTTTGCTGCCGCACAATGATACCTCCAACACTAGACCAGACTCAAATGACAGTGTTTTTTCTCTAAGAATGAAGAATTAACACTTTGGAACGTACATCCAAGTCCTTTGTTGGGTGCGAAATGTGCTTCTCTGAGAAAATGTGTTGTTTGCGTAAAGCTCTAAGGGAGCGATACGGTGCCGTGAGTATTTAAGACATACTGCTGCTGCACAAATAGCATATAAAATAACCCGTAGCAGATCTATACAGGTGGAGCTGGGGAAGGTGGAGGGTTTCAGAGAAACTCTGAAAGCACGCTGCAGGAATCTCTAGTGAATGCTAGCCAGCCATACAAATGCAAGGCAGTAAGCTCAGTGGCTGCATATGCGGCATGAACCAATCAGCTTGTGACAAGTCGTTTAACTCTCTGAATATCATCAGTTACGTTAACAACCCATCAGCCTGCGCCATCTAGAGTTTCATGACTGAACTATATATTTATTTTTAAAAATATACTTTAAAGATTTGAAGTACACTACAAGTGCACATTCAATACAGTTAAACACACTTCTTTTTCACAAGGGTTGATATGGACAAAGACACTGTTTACAGTGCCCATCTACCCAGAAATAGTAGTTTCATCAGAAGACAATATATATACATCTTTACAGCTCAGATAACACTCAATTTCTTTGTGCAGACAAAAATAAGTGCTTTAGAAAAAAATACACACTGCATAATTCTACTTGACTTCCAATGTAAGTGCATTACCATCAATTTGATTTCACTTCTTTTTACAAACCGATAGATAATTTGAAGTCATTTGCTGTGGTATTTGAACATGCTTCACATGCTTACAGAGTTTAACTTGTTTTGAACCCGGAATATCCCTTTAATGTTTTGGGGAAACTTAATGCACATCATAATAAATCACTTCATTTGTGCATCTAGACATCATGCTGTTCTCTAGCATGCAGTTATTTTTCATTCCTCATGTTATTTTTTAAAGCTGTTTCTTTGAAAAACACAATCCATTTTGCATCATAACATCGCAATTTACACAATGAAGTTACTGCATCGTGTGTATGTGTGTGTAAGTTTAGGTTTATTCATCTTACATTGGGTACAAGTTTGTCTTCAGAAGTTGGCTAAATTTGACAAACCCTCCCACTGGGAGCGTCCTCACAAGGTAAAATGACTCATAAATAAAATAAGTGTTTTCTTTCCGGCATAGGGGTAGGGTTTGGGTTAGTGCTCATAATTATGTAAGCTTTATGTATAAATGATAAAATGTAAATGTGTGTCATTTACCTGAGGTGTAACTCTAGTTGGGAGTACAGGAAGCGCAGCAGTGCTCGTCTGGTGGTGATTTCAGCGTGACAGTCATTGACCACCAGACCCTGGTCACTGATATACTCTCCATTAATGCATTTAGTGCCGGTCGATAGCGCCACCACTTGGGCCTGTCTCAGATCCAGACCTGATGAGCACAAAGACACACAAACATACTGTATGTGACAGCTTCATAATATTGGATCCGACAGCAAATAAATGCAAATAAATACTGCAAATAAATTCCCGTTCACACCAAGAACGATAGATAACTATAGCGATAATTGTATTGCCGTCCACACCAATGGATGATAATGTTCTGGTCATTACATGTGCACACTGCTGTTTTGTTATCTGACACTTTGAATGCTTGAGCTAGTTAATGCAGAATTCTTATTGGCTGCCAATGTTTTTTATCATCCATCAGCTATACAAAAATCATTTTGAAAGTGATTCCATCTATATAATTCCTCTGCATTATATTTGTGTTATAGAGTTATTACTTAAAATGCATGCTTTTTATGTACACTTCTCATTTTAAATACTGTGGCGAGTAAATAAGAATATTGGTAAAAATTTGGTGTCCAATTCTCACTATTAACTAGTTGGTTATTAGCATGAATATTACTGGGATATTGGCTGCTTATTATTACTTATTCTGCAAGACCACTATCTACATACTTAATCCTACCCAATTCCTACCCAATTCTTAAACTTAACAACTAGTTTACTAAGTATTAATAAGCAGTAATTAGGAGTAAATTGAGGCAAAAGTCATAGCTAATAGTTAATTAATAGTGAGAACTGGACTCTAATCTAAAGTGTGTTTGCCTCATCCAAACGCTCGCCTATCATTCATCGACCTCAAATATGGATTATAATCTGAAACATGTAAATAGTAGCAACTTCACATGGCCACTCGCTCTACCGTTAACCTATAAAAATGTGCGCTATTTCAGTGTTTGTGCGAATGAGGAAGCGCGCGTCGGTTTGATCACTTGCGCTTCAAATTTTTTTGGTCATACAAATAGGAGTTATACATCTTTGTAAGCTTTAAAGACTCTTCTTTTATTTGTGTGCAGTCACAATAACAAAAACACTTTGTGATTTTGTAAAATAATGAAAGCAAACGGTGCACGTGCACGTTCTGCCGTCTCATCACGGTATTTGAATTTGAGCACGTCAAATAATAAAACAAAACTCTGTGTATACAAGTGCATCTCAATAAATTAGAATGTCGTGGAAAAGTTCATTTATTTCAGTAATTCAACTCAAATTGTGAAACTCATGTATTAAATAAATTCAATGCACACAGACTGAAGTAGTTTAAGTCTTTGGTTCTTTTAATTTTATTTAATACACGAGTTTCACAATTTGAGTTGAATTACTGAAATAAATGAACTTTTCCATGACATTCTAATTTATTCAGCTTTGCATCACAGGAATAAAATTACATTTAAAAAATATTCAAATAGAAAACAGTTGTCTTACATTGTAATAATGTTTCACAATATTTCAGATTTCTACTGTATTCTCTATTCCTATTTGCCAAGAATTCGCAATCTGCATTTGCGTATTTGCATCAAGTGTTCCTGGCTTAAGGATTAGAGAGAAAATGGAACCAAATTTGAACCATTTTTGGAGCAAGAAAAAATATATGTACAGTAGGATGTGACCTTTTAAAAAATAAGCAGCATGCACAAGATTTTTATCAAGACAGATACTATGAATTCTGCTGTAGTCTACAATAAAAGCTGTTCTTTGCTGATGTTCTTTACACAAGGACGAGTAACTCCTAACTTGCTGCGGTCACGTTGGTCATCAATGCACATAGCTTTTCTGTGACATTTTCATCAGCCACAGCAAGACGAAACCCACAACCCCGGCACAAAGCATCTCCACCTGCCACGGCCCGCTGTACCTGTCTCACAGCTGCTCGGCCACGATATGGCCCCAGCAGGAGGACACAGGCTTCAACACATTCCTAATAAATGTAGGAATTTTGACAATAATGATCGCATAAGTGCCGTATGTGACATGCAGAAAGGGTAAGAGAATCCAGGAAAAAGAAATCCTTGAGGAAAACAACGCAGCTGCCCGGCACAAAACCAACACGGTGAGTTATGCACTTCTTTTCGCACACTATTATAGGAACTCTACCTTTCCATCTATCAAAGACAGACTCAAACGTCCCAAATGTTCCTCTGAAGACAAATGCCAGCTGGTTCTGCCCAGTCTCCACCTGCCTCACCTGATCTATCCCAGCATGCATTGGTACAGTGCACAGCAGGGACCCAGCATGCCCAGGTTTTGTGTTTAGTCATCTTTATTCAACAATCCCCCAAAGCAAAAACACTTCAGAAAAAAAGGCAAGTTAAAAGACCCCAACCACCTCAGACTCCCAGCCTGTTCTCGCCATGCTGTTCCATTTAATGATAGTTTAGATCAATCTGGCAATGGCAGAGAGAGAGAAAAGAGAGTGTATAGTCATTTCTCTCTGTACCGGCATGAAATTGTTGTAAAGGCTCTTCTCTCGGTGTGAGGGGGTGGTGAGGCCTGTGGGCACTGCTGCTTTTAGAAGAGCAATAATCATCAACATCTCTGAGAAAGCACATTGTGCCAGTGAGGTGGGTACAAAGGCAAACACCCTGGATGTGAACATGACTGCCGTTCACTCTACCCTTCAGCAGACCGCTGTGTAAAGAACAGAAAAGAGAACATCACAGTATCAAAGGCAAGTGTGCAAAAAGACACGCACTATTGAACAACTAGTAGTCTTTAAAACAAATAGTCTTTAAAAATTGTTCACCAAAAAAATGTACATTTGCTGAACATTTACTCCCCCCCAGGCCATCCGAAATTGAGTTTGTTTTTTCAGATTTTGAGAATTTAACATTATATCACTTTCTCAGCAATGGATGCTCTGCAGTGAATGGGTGCCGTCAGAATAAGAGTCAAAACAGCTGATAAAAACATCACAATAATCCACAAGTAATCCACACCACTCCAGTCCATCAGTTACCATCTTATGAAGCCAAAAGCTGCAAGTGTATAAGAAACAAATTTAATAAAAAAATATGTTTTTAACTTAAAACCATTGCTTTTGGCTGAAATATGAGTTCTCTATCCATGATATTGTTTTCTCCAGAAAAAAGGCGTCCCATCTGAATCAGGAGAGAAATATGCACGGATCAAGCAGCGTTTACAAGCAAAAACAGTTCTAGACATATATGTTGGTCATTTTCATGTGAATGGGGATGGACTTTTTTGTAACTGGGGGAAGCATTATTATGGATTATGGTCTCATATTTCAGCCCAAAATTATGGTTTCAAGTTTAAAAATGTCTTAATGGGGAAATGGTTCATTAAAAACACAAACCTTTTCATTTCACAAGATGTCAAATAACAGATTGGAGTCTTGTGGATTACTTGTGGATTATTGTGATGTTTTTATCAGCTGTTTGGACTCTCAATCTGACGGCACCCATTCACTGCAGAAGATCCATTGCTGAGCAAAAGAAGCAATGCTACATTTCTCCAAATCTGTTCTGATGAAGACACAAACTCGTCTACATCTTGGATGGCCTAAAGGGGGAGTGAAATATTCCTTTAACAAAAATCAGAATTTGTTTAGAAGTAGCCTGAAATAATATACAACTTTATATTTATTTATTTTTAATGTGACTATTTTTAAAGTGTGCATATATTGTTTTCTTGAGTATTTTATTTGATGCATCAGTTTTTTTTTTATCTAGTATGATATAGTGAGAATATGGAGCTTATAATCAAGGAGGAAAATCAGCTTTATCCAGAAATGTATATATAATTGCATCAGCAATTTTATCCAGAAAAAATGCAGTAGCTATCAATTATATGGCCAAAAGTAAGACTAAATTCTGATAGCTTGTAAAGTGAGATCTTTATAGCAAAATAGCAGAATACATAAAATACATATTAATATCAGTTGTCACTCTATGACTCCCCATAATGTTAAATGCTTAGTTTCATGATAAAAGCCCTGTAATGCAATGAAATACAATGACAACAAAACTACTAAAATACATTTGTGAACTTGATCTATGAAAAAAGCTGAATTCGTATAATAGCAACAAGCAACAAGATTGTTATAATATAAAATACAACAGAGACAATACTACAGCAGACGCTTTAACCTTCACCACTGCTTTGCCGTCAAGAGACACCAGATTGTACCTCTTCATGGAAAGTGGCGTATACAGTGAGTATTCCACTGTGAACACAGCCACTGTCTGTGCAAGACACTATTAATCAGCACATGGGTCACTCTAGCGGAGGTCTGTCAGGGGAAAGCCCATATGCTGATATGAGCTTAATAAGCATCATTACCCCCGCATTTCCTAAATGAGTTTTGTTTCGCAAAACAAGGAAAGAATGCAGTTCATCAGTTCCTTTATGAGGCCATCAAATCATAAGGAATCATTAGATGGGGTTTTATGCATCCTCTGCTTTGAGAGGTCTAGGAAAGTCCATATTGGATTGGCTAGAAAGGACACAGTGTATTTTGGTAAAAAAAAAAAAAAGGCGCAGAAAGCGATTATTTCAGAAAATTGATGAATTTGCATTAAACGTATTTTCTTTAGGGGTAAAGCAAATGGCCGAGGTCATCGTCTACCAAGTCATTTACATGCCATTAGGAATAAAGAGGCTCATGAATTGATCCTTTACAAGTTGGTCTTGCATGATAAAATGTTTGAATATTAAATAAGGTCAAAGAGGTGCACATCATCACCATTTACTACTTGTGTTCCAGAGATAATTCCTACCGAAATGGAAACCTTTGCACAGATATGGCACGCTTATATAAAATGATATGCTTAGAGAATGAGCTTTATCTACAAAAACACTCTAAATAACTATTATCACTGTCAAATATTGAATCTTACTTGTTGACAAACAGTTAAATGTGCTAATTTTCTATAATAGTTGACCACATTATGGTTTCATATTATTCTTCCATGTTCCAACATATATATGTATGAATATATATTCTAATTCTAATTTTAGTTAAAGTTTTAGTAAGCTTTAGTCTGTTGTGTGTTTTTTGCCATTTATATATTGTTTTTTATTTTTATGACAGTTTTTATTTAACATTTTTTTCATTCTGCATTTTATTTTATTTCAGTTATTAAGTAAGGAAATTGCTTTTGAATGCTTTTAGCTGTAGTTAACTATATACAAAAATTAATTCAATAAAATAAAATAACAAATAAAAAAATTTATGTTTCAACTTAAAAATTAAGTGTTTAGCTTGCCTTAAAATTTTAATGAAAAATAAAAAAAATAATTACTCATCCTCATGTCATTCCAAACCCATAAGACCTTTGTTCATCTTCGGAACACAAATTAAAATATTTTTAATGATGCGGAGGAGAAGAATTGTTGAGTAAAATATATATATATATATATATATTTTTTTGCACACAAAAAGTATTCTCATTGCTTCATAAAATTACGGTTGAACCACTGATGTGACATGGACTATTTAGTTCTTGGTATGTTTCTGGACCTTGAACATGGTAGGACCCTTGCTGTCTGGAGGGTCAGAGAACCCTCAGATTTCATCAAAAATATCTTAAATTGTGTTCCGAAGATGAACGAAAGTCTTAGGGGTTTGGAACAACACAAGGGTGAGTAATTAATGACAATATTTTCATTTTTGGTTGAACTAACCCTTTAATATGCATTGTCCACCACGGGAATCTGTCTTTCCACTTCCCAGTTGCTCTAAACACAATCATCTGTTCTCCAAATGTAGAAGCAGACACGTCTGGTTCCCTTTACCAGCCCTTCAACCGTGCATCTGATGTTCAAAACCCAAATCCCAGCATCCGTACCGTGCCTGGTTGAAATAAGATTATTCACACCATCTGATTCAAGCAAGTGTCTATTTCCTTTACGTTAGCAGATTAATCCAATAAGAGTCCTGTGAGGAGCACTCTCGCTCAGGTTACGACTCCCTCTGCGAAAGTCCCGCAGTTCAAAGTTGGACCCGCATTAATATTCCACCGGTGCCCGTACCAGTCTAAAAGATTCAATAGATGCTCAAAGAGCAGTGAACAGAACCCCCAGTGTTTCTGTCAAGTTTGTGTGTCTGCTCGCCTGCCACAAATTCTTGGGCACCGATGTCTGGATCTTTGAAGATAACAGTCTTAATAAACATGCTCCGCAATTACTGTGAGGCAGACAGGCGGGAAGGAGAGAAGGAGAGCGAGACAGAGCAGCGAGGACAGGGATTAGGTCAGATATCACTGAAGTCTAAATTGATGAGCTGTGGTCTTCAAAAGATAAGCTTGATACTGATCCTGCAATGACTCCTGAAAGCCTGCAGCTGGGTCTTACACAAACACACTGAAACATCACATCAAGCTGTCACTGCTCGGCAACTGAGCTGTTGTAATTCATAATCGTGGGATATACTGTATATTTTAGTAGCAATACGCCAATAAATATGGATAGTGCAAGTATATATATTTGAAGCAGCATCTTATCACTGAGATACTTTTAATAGAGATATACTATTAATAGCATTAATATGCTTGGTTTTAATTTTAATTTTAGTTTAGTAATTATATATATTAGTTTTATTTTATTTATTCTATTTAAACAAACCCCTAACCCTTAATGTTATGCCTATTGATCTATTAACAAAACAAGTAAGGCCATGTCCACACGAACACATGTATGTGTTTCCTTCTTCCGTTTTTAAAAAAATCTCCATCCACATGAAAACGCAAACGCATGCTATGAAGCACTGTCAAGAGCATGCCAAACCAACAGGTGGCGATGTAATCTCAACCGTAAAGCCATGTTAGCCAATCAGAAGCCTGACAAAGTTTACAGTAGGTGGAGATAACAGTGCATGCTCCGACGTCACAACCCAAAAACTCCGGTTTCACTGTCTACACGACAACACTGCATCCGGAGTTTTTGAAAATCTTCACCCTGGCAGGCGTTTTCAAAAAATGTCGGTTTCAGTGACCTGGTGCTGCGCTTGCGTGTGGACGAACGGCCAAACCGCGTAAAAAAAACTGCGGTTTTGAAAATACCCACGTTCGTGTGGACAGGGCCTCAATTACAAGGTAATTAATTGCACAAATTTATGCAATTAATCATATTTAATGGCACGAAACATTAAAATTTTTAATCAATTGTAACATTTTACAACTATATCTCCAAATTTATGTGGGTATTTTAATTTTGTATTTTAAATGTTTTTTTCTAAGTAAATGCGTCTATTAATAAGATCATTTATAATTATAGCCATTCAACATTACAGAATTACTGAAATTATATTAATTCTATCTATCATATATTACCAATTACAGAACATTAACACATTAAATTTAGAACATAAATTTAAAATGATATTCACATAAACCCATTATAGTAAATGTCACATGATCACAGAAATTAGCATTACTTTTCCAAGCCCTTACTAAATATTAGACTTTGGCATGTGACTTTTGTCACCATTTTGTTCTATGGACTGAATAATACCCAAAATCATGTGATCATTGTGATTTTCTTCTGTAAAAAAACAAAACAAAAAAACACTCAAAACCACCTACCGATGCCTTTTCAACCACCCTAGCAACCACATAGCAACACACTAGTTAAAGTGAGATTTGCACAGTCATTTAAAGGGGTCATATGATGCGATTTCAAGTTTTCCTTTCTCTTTGGAGTGTTACAAGCTGGTTGTGCATAGATAAGATCCCTGAAGCTGCAAAGACTAAAGTCTCAAAACCAAAGAGATATTCTTTATCAAAGTTAAGACTCTGCCACGCCCCCTTAAAACGACTCGTTCTAACACGCCCCCACATATCTACCTCACTATGTGGAAATATTAGCATAATGCGCCCAAATGTTCACGCAACGAAAGAAGGCGTGGTTTCAGTAACCGCAGTTAGTGTTGAAGCAGCATGTCAGGGAGATGCTGTGTGTTTCTAGGCGAAAGCAAAAACACTTTATTTGGCCTTCCGGAAGTAGATGCATTTAGGAATCTTTAAGATTACTTACAACAGAACAGCAATGCATTTTATGGACGACCGTTTCGTGAACCTAGGATTAATTCTGACTTTGCTATGACAATCTGGAGCTTCTGAGTCAGCTAATGTTTTGTTATTAGTTTAAGTATTTGCTATTGACTGTTCAAATGCGGAGTTTTGCGCATCGTGTGTGTGTGTGCGTGAGCGAGGGAGAGAGAGAGAGAGAGAGACAGCGTCACGTCACAGTGGAGTCAGCTGTCTTAACCGTGGCTTGTGTACTGCACACATACCAGCTTCATCACTGTGTCTGTCCTGCGACTCTGTTCCCCTTTCGGGCTCTGTCTTTACATTTATTTTGAAAGATGAAGCTCGTGATTATGGTAAGGGGCGTTACATTTCTGACGAGTGCTTGCGGTGTTCGGCCAATCACAATGCACTGGGTCAGCTGGCCAATCAGAGCAGACCGCGCTTGTCGGAAGGAGGGGCTTTGTAGAAAACGAAGCGTTTGAGAGAGGCGGGGCATAGAGGACCTACAATAATGTACAGTATTTGAACATTAAAGCATGTCAACATATTCTGTTACACCAAATACACAAAATAATGATCTTTAAAAAAGCATCATATGACCCCTTTAAAAATCAGATTTGATTTGTTTAAAAATTACTGTTTATAAACAGGTTTCCCAAACACTTTCCCTTATCTCCCATTGGTCAGATTCACAGACCCCAAACCCATGTCATTGCTTGCTATGTGAGGATGGTTGGATGCTTATAACATTGTTTTGATAGCACCACAGATACAAAGTGTTCACACCTTTCAGGGGAATCAGCCTATGAATGACTAACAGTTCACGCTGAATATCAATCTGGGATAAGGGAAAGTATTTTAGCATCTGGAAATATTGAACACGTCACCTTTAATATTGTTCTAAAGAATAAAAACCAAGACTTCATTGCCTGTAAATCATTTTAGTCTATTCTTCATCTGCTCTTTGACTCCATTCTGATATATGTGCATCTTTGTCTGTTGCTTTTTCACGGGTGATAAAGTACTAAATATTTCATCCAAAGCTCCACACTCAGAGGACACACAGAGACTTAGAGGTGCTTTCTCTACTCTTATTGAACTTCTTAAATAATTCACAGGCCGATTGAAACGATGCCATACCTCTGGTCATGATGATGCCCGCCAGGCCTTTGTGACGCGCATGCAGCAGCGAGGAGCAGCCGGCCAGCTCTGTGTATTTCTCTCGCACCAGGTGGAATATCGCATCCGCAAACTCCTGCAAGTCACAACAGGTTCTTGGTAAATTTGTTGCCTTATTAAAAATATATGTTCATATTGACAATATTTAGTTGTTTGTGTACCATATCATCACTCTGTAAAGTACTAAAAACAATGTAAACTTCCAATAATAATTTTAAGTAACGAACATTGTAGAATGTTCCATATCAATACAACAAGTGATTTAAATTCAAATGCGAAGGTATTTGAAAAAAAAAAAAAACGAATAATATTTCCATGAAAAAAATTCCATTCTGAACCTGAATTTAAATTGCACAAGGAATTATTATATTCTATTATATTTTATTAACACATATAATTAATGCATATATCTGTTAAACATTACATTATACAATTATGAATGAAAACTATTGTAGAATTTTTCAGAGCAGTGAGTGCATGTATTTCAAAAACAAAATTAATTTCAATTCTGCTTCAGAGTGGATTTTTTAAAATGGAAATATTAATTATTCATGTGTGTGTATATATATATATCATATTTATATTATAAAAAGCATTCTGAAGCCTAATCTGTTAAAAATTACATAAAATGTTGTATAATTAAAACTTAATTATTTACAATATTTGCATGTCACCTTTTTCATTCATTATTTTGTTTCATAGTCTCAATATATACATGACACTTCATAAATATATAATAAAATATATGAAAACTGTTTATAAAAAATGTATGAAATGTCTTAAAATCTGAATCTACAACAATTAATGCTCTGTTAAGTAATACAATAAAATAACCAACAATATTGTAAGTGTTACTCTGTGTGTGGTTGCTGTTACTGATGCATTAAGATAAAAAATCACTTCATACAGACAAGATATCGCATAATAGAGATTTTACATTCCATGAATCATATATATCATGTATATTTCATTTCAAATAAATTAAATTCAGCAAATAGCTTTGCTATTGCATGATCACACAATGACTTTGCCCGTGGCATTTTTTTTCCCCTCACCAACATGGTGACCCAATTAATTTGTGTCAAAACACCGGGCATCAATAGAGTAATTGGAAGGAGAAGAGACCACGGGCGTGCTCATGGTCAGTCGTTTATCTGAGACACTTTCACTAATGGAACAGCGTGATTAGTTTGGTGGCGTCTCAAATGGACCATCTGTCCATTGCTCTGAGCTCAGGGTTCAGGCCGCCAGGCTGAAAAATAACCTGGACCCTGCGTTTGCATTCACCAGACGGGCTTCGGCCTATCCTGCCCCGTACAGCTGTTCCTGAACCTGTGCGAGTGGATTCATACCACGTCCACAACTGATGGTATTATGTTGCTGTTTGTGGCAATTAGTGGCTTATGAAGGCAAACACATATCCACACAGTACATACACACACAGTGCCAGATGATAATTATGACTTCTGAGGGGTGGGCCAAATGTCTGGTGAAATAAAATGGAGGGCAAAAACAGATGCACCTCTTTATGAAGGATGTTCACAGTATGTAGCAGCTGATGATCTGATTGGAGAACAGTCATCACACAACAGACATGTCCCTGTCTGTGGAGCCTGAATGATATTTAGCAGAAAAGCAAAAAATACCTATGCTATTTCATAGGTATTTACATAATACCTATATAATAATTGCATCCAAAATAAAAGTTTTTGTTTACATAATATATGTGTGTGTGCTGTGTATATTTATTATGTATAAATATATATATATATATAAATACACATACTGTACATATAGTATATATTTTGAAAATATTTACATGTATATATTTATAATCATATAATTTATATTATATATAAATATATTTAATATACAAACACAACATATTTTTCCAAAATATATACATGCATTTGTGTGTATTTATATATAAATTGTGAAAAACTTGTTGCCTCTTTCCCAAAAAGACTCATGGCTGTATTAGATCAAAAGGGTGCTTCTACTAAATACTGAGCAAAGGGTCTGAATACTTAGGACCATGTGATATTTCAGTTTTTCTTTTTTAATAAATCTGCAAAAATGTCAACAATTCTGTGTTTTTCTGTCAATATGGGGTGCTGTGTGTACATTAATGAGGAAAAAAATTTACTTAAATTATTTTAGCAAATGGCTGCAATATAACAAAGAGTGAAAAATTTAAGGGGGTCTGAATACTTTCCGTACCCACTGTATATGTACGTATATGTACATGCACACACACACACACACACACACACACACCCACACACACTCTTTAAATAATTGTTTTCTATGTAAAAACACAATGCAAAATATTTATAAACTGTATACTGTATTTGGTCTTTTAATATCACTGTCTTATTGCACCAAGCTGCATTATATTCTGAGTGAATCTTCTGAAGCATCATGCTTTTTTTTGCTTTAAAGATATTTGTCATAATTGTACTTCCATATTCTGCCCTACAAAGGCAAAGCACAGTAGAGGGAAAAATAGCTTTTTATTAAAATTTATTTTGTATTATTTTTCATACTCTATTTTAAGAATTCAATCTTTTTTTTATGTTCAGATATTTCTATCCAAGTTTAATGTGCAGCAACAACTGTAAGTAAACCTTTCAGCTACAACAACAAACCTCTTGGGAAATGTCTCATACTGTACAACCTAAACATAAGAACAAAATGATGCTCAATCTAAGGTTTGGTTGCTTTAGCGAGCAGTAACTCACAGTAAAGCGCTTCTTTAGCCTGAGCTTGCCAAGCTGGCAGACATATTTAAATGCCTCTAGTGGTAATTAAACACTAATCCCAATGTCACCTTAATAAAACATCTTTTATTGGTGACATTAAAAGGATTAAAAGGGATGCCAAACATTTCCACACTTCAAAGACAGAGGCGTGAGCTATGGTTGGACTGACGCCAGAGTTCAGTGATGGATCGTGAAGGCAGATCTCCAGCACAGTGAGGTATGAGCACGCTTCTTTAGCCTGAGCTTGCCAAGCTGGCAGACATATTTAAATGCCTCTAGTGGTAATTAAACACTAATCCCAATGTCACCTTAATAAAACATCTTTTATTGGTGACATTAAAAGGATTAAAAGGGATGCCAAACATTTCCACACTTCAAAGACAGAGGCGTGAGCTATGGTTGGACTGACGCCAGAGTTCAGTGATGGTGCTCATACCTCACTGTGCTGGAGATCTGCCTTCACGATCCAACATTCACCTCTGATGACTGGAAATACAGCTACATTCTTACATTTTCTTTGGTAGTTGAAATGGCATTGGTGAACAGTTGCTAAGGTGTTGTGTGTGTGGTTTTTAGTGTGTTGTGCTATTGCTAGGGTGTTGCTATGTTGTCAGGAGAAGTTATTTTGTAGCATTATTAAGTGTTTGCTAGGATGCTCTGGGTGGTTGCTGTGTATTCTGGTCTCTCTATAAGTCACATGATTTGAGGTATCCATTATGTCTGTAGCAATGGGGCAAGGTTTAATACTAAGGTTAATTGAAGAAAACATAATTGTGATGCTTGATGTGTAGCATCACTAATAAACACACACAGTCAAAAACACAAAGGGGGTAGAGGATATATGCGATGGAAGGAAAGCAGCAAAGAGAAAGAGGGAAATGGAGGGAAAAAAAGCCCCAGCATTGGCCATTTCAGGGAAATTAAGTGGCTTCTGTCTTTTGTTTGCTACATGCCAACAGCACATTATGAGCTTTTAAATTTCAAAGACTTGTCTCAACATGAACCATTAATGGCAATCAAATCATTTGATTCCTTTTGAAGATATGCCACAATAATGAAGTCTTTTGCATACATCTGTACTCACAAATCTGAATGCAGAATAATGTCACACTGATTTGCAAAAGGGAAAACTCTTGCAGGTAATGGACTGAAATTAGTTATCAAAGGCAGGAATAAAATATTTAGAGCATTCAAAAGGGACTCTAATACCTTGAAAGAGGCCATGAAAAGGAAGCAAAAATCAAAAGCAGAAAAACTGTGATTTAGTCTCTGGCACATTGCTAGAGAATTTGTGTTGAATGTTAATCAGGCAAAAGAAAAAAAGAAAAAAAAAGAGCTCTGTCAAATCACAGAAACACCGCAATCCAACTCCTTTCAGTTTGAAAGGTGTAGATCATGTGACGAGACAAAAAGAACATCTTGTGATGTGCGGTGGTTCTTTTTGCTGTCTAGGAAAAAAATTAAATAATAAAACACACAATGACATGACACACGCACTCAAATATGTTCCTGCTATATTTAGCTTTAACCATGGTGTTCTACCTCTTGCAACTAGTAATAATTTCATTTTCACTCAACCTGGGAGGTTGCTGTGCTTTGGTACTTACAATATTATATATAATGTGAAATAATCAAAATTAATTTCTATAAAATCAAGGTCTCTAAGAATTAACTGCCAATAATGATGTCACACCTATCACATATTTTAGCTTTAAACTCACACTTTAGTTCTCCCAGCTGGGAAAAACAAACAAACAAAAAACAGCCAAAACCAGCCTATGCTGGCTAGCTGGTCTTAGCAGGTTTAACCCGGTCAAGCTGCTCTCCCAGCCTGACCAGCTGAGACCAACCTGACTAGCTGACAAAGTGATCAAAACCCCTCTAAAACTAGCCTGCAAACTAACTACGATCAGGCTGGAAGACCAGCTAAAACCAGCTTAAACTGGTTTCAGTTGGTTTTTCAGCAGCTGTTGAAACAAAACCTATGGTTTCAAATTGGTTTGTCTTAATCAACAATAACTATATTAGGTGTTCTCAAGAGCAGATGATAATGTTTTGTGTATTAAAAGCTCACGCTGCAGTTTTGTCGCCTTTCACTTTAAAAGCTAAAGCTCTTTAAAGAAGGATTCTGATTGGCTGTCAATGTTTCTATCACTGATCAGCTAGAAGAAAAAATGTTCTGAAAGTGATTTCAGTGATTTTGTTCCATTTTGCCATTATAGGCATGGTTGTGGATGGACTCTTTATCAACTCTTTATCTTTATCGTTATAGTTATCGTTATCGATCTTGGTGTGAACAGGCCTTGAGTCTTAA